AATACTTCATCATTTTTGATCAAAGCATAAAGGTTCCAATCAAAGTGGAGAATGGTCAACGTGTAATGACAGCAGGAAAAGGAAATATCCAAGTGATGACAAGCCAAAGAGAGAAGATCATCAAATAGGTGTTTCTAGTGCCGGGTTTAGCAAGAAACCTATTGAGTGTATCTCAAATGATATCAAATGGATATGGAGTCTTATTTGAAGACAATAGATGCCTCATCAACGATCCTCAAGGGAGAAGGATTCTGAACATTAAGATGAAGCATAAGAGTTTTCTACTCAGATGGAATAACTTAAAAGCAAGTGCTTTACTTCTGAGTGAAGAAGAAGCTGCAGTTTCACAGGAAAAGATGGAGCAAAGGGTTGATGTGAATGACTTGAATGTTGATCCATTGAAGATCTCAGAAGAAAGCTTGGAATGAAGCCGAGATATGATTAAGGGGGAGTGTTGAATCATAATCAAATCTCTCCTAAGTCAAAATCACATTTACATAAGTTAGTTATTAACTAAGAGTCATGTTCGTATAGTTGTGTCGTTTCACTAAGAGTCATGTTTGATTAAGAGTTGTGTCTGTTCAACACACTGTTTCACTTGTATAAATAGATATCGAGTCTGTGTTTGTAAAAATAAGTCAGTGTGTAATACAATCAAAGCAATAAAGGTTGATTACACTCCTATTCTGTTTTTTCTTCGTTACCGTAATCAACAAATATCAAATTCAATAAAAATTTCTATTTCATTTATGTTCTTCTTTAGAAGAAAAAGATAATTTTATCTCTTACTCTGATTCTTCTTTCTTACTCTATTTTGGGAATCTATATTCCAACATGGTATCAGAGCTTATGTCGGTCTTGGAGTCTGTTCAAGCACAATAAAAATAAGAAGAAATCCGCTGCGAGAAGAAGAGAAAGATGGAGACGAAAAACCAAATAAAAAAGGAGATGGTGACAAGAGAAAGCACCATCCATTATCACAAGCGCATTCACATGCCGTAACTTCAAGAGGAAGGCTCCAAAAGGATGAAGGAGATATGAATTCTTCTCAAAATAAATTGGAGACAATGGATGTGAACATGGAGTTTGGAAGGAGAATTCTGAAACTTTGTTCGAAGAAGCATGGAACACTTTGGAAATGGAGCTCCAAGGAAGTTCACAAGTAAAGATGATTAATCTTCAGACCTTGAGAAGAGAATATGAGAATCTGAAGATGGAGAAAAGTCATAAATGATTTCACAACCAAGTTGGTTAACATGAGTAATCAACTTAGAGTTTATGGTGAAGAGAAGACCGATTACCAATTGGTTCAAAAGATTCTTATCTCCTTGCCGCAAAAAGTTCGATAGCATCGTTGCTGTCCTTGAACAAACAAAGGATCTATCAACTCTCTCTATGACAGAGATGATAGGTACTTTGAAAGCGCATGAGAGGCGCTTAAATCTCCGAAAAGAATGTATCAATGAGGGTGCGTTTTATGGAGAAAAGTTTGGTTCAAAAAAAAGGAAACAAGCAAGAAAAGAAACGCCATGAGAAGACAAATAAGTGGTGTCGCGTGTGCAAAAGAAACAATCACAATGAGGTAGATTGTTTGAGAAAGAAGAAAGGAGGATGCTTACCTCATAAAAAAAAATGGAGCAGACGTCAAGGAGACGTCATGGTGATCAAAGGAAGACACCAAACAAAAAAAAGGAGGTGCCACCTGTTGAAAAAGACAGAGAAGGCATAAAACCATGGCTGGTGATCAGAGGAGAACACCAAGCAAGGACCCGTTTTTAGAAATAACCGAAGAAGATGTGAAGAAAATTCACTGAGACCTCCAAGAGACGTGAGGAAAGTTCTAGAGGAACTTGAAGACATGGAGAAGTTTCACGCATGAGACGTCAAAGAGACGTGAGGAAAGTTCTTGCAAAGAACTGCAAGCTTAGAAAAGCCGAGAGAGCGGATCTAAGTCTAGAAGAAACAGATGATGAGGATCACATGCTGTTTAGTGCGGTTGAAGAAGAAGTATCATCAAAAATAGATGATAAAATGTGGTTAGTTGACAGCAGGTGCACTAACCATATGACCAAGGAAGTTAAATACTTCATCACTTTTGATCAAAGCATAAAGGTTCCAATCAAAGTGGAGAATGGTCAACGTGTAATGACAGCAGGAAAAGGAAATATCCAAGTGATGACAAGCCAAGGAGAGAAGATCATCAAAGAGGTGTTTTTAGTGTCGGGTTTAACACAAGATCTATTGAATGTACCTGAAATTATATCAAAAGGATATAAAGTCTTATTTGAAGACAATAGATGCTTCATCAACGATCTTCAAGTGAAAAGGATTTTGAACATTAAGATGAAGCATAAGAGTTTTCCACTAGAGTAACTTAGACGTAAGTGCCTTACTTGCAAGTGAAGAAAAAGCCGCAGTTTCACAAGGAAAGATGGAGCAAATGGTTGATGCGATTGACTTAAATGTTGATCCATTGGAGAACTAAGGAGAATGTTTGAAGTAAGACCAAAACTCAATCAAGGAGGAGTGTTGATTTATAATTGAGTTTGGTCTAAATATCATTTGATAATTGAGTTTAGTATGTTAAGTGAAATGGTGTGTGTGAAAAGGTGTGTTTTAGAGATGTATCTATTAAGTAAAAGTAGTTATTTATTTCAAGAGTCACAAATATGAAGAGACAAAACTCATTGTGTTAGTATCTGTTCGTTTTGTATATATACCAATTTTGTATTGTTGTAAATAACAAGTTTCAGATTCAATAAAATTTCTATTTCATTTATGTTCTTTTTTAGAAGAAAGAGATAATTTTATCTCTTACTCTGATTCTTCTTTCTTACTCTATTTTGGAATCTATATTCCAACAGTTCAAAAACACATGAGCTCGGATGAGTGAAACTTTACCATCTTGAACGTTGGAAACGATCGTGCCTTTTCTCCTGAAACAAACAAGTTGATGAGATAGTACATAGTTATTTTTTGTTATTGGTTGCAAGGACTTTTTACCTGTTGATGTCACCAGAAACAGTTCCCTGAAATTCTGTTGGTACCTCCAACTCTACTAATATGACCGGTTCTAGAATCAGAGGTCGAGCCGCTGTGTAACAATCTCTGAAAGCGTATATCGCAGTCGTTTTCAACGCCTCTTTACCACAGTCAAGGGCCTGTGAAGCTCCACCTGTCAATACAACCCTTAAATACTCCACAGGATGACCAATTAGTGAGCCCCTAAGATTTCAAGATTACACACAATCAAGTAACAACATGAGATCAGGAGCATCCAAATGGTCAAAGAGAGAAAAAGACACCACTCACGCCTTTGCAGCTTCTCTGAAACCTCTCTCAATTGCTCCAATAGAGCGTAGCGGAAGTGCTTTTCTAGCAACCATACTGTCGAATTCAAACTTCTCTTTAGAGCTCAACGGAAGCGGTTCCACGTACCTAACAATTATAAACATCTCATTGGGACTGGTTTACAAATAAAGACATCATCTAAGGAATATAAACTTATCAGTGTTTATATATAGATAGATAGATGACTCACCCGAGAACCCTAGCGTACTCTAGGGTTCCTTGTCTTTTCTTCTTGAGTATATATTCGAACTCAGCCCGCTCAGTAATAGTCTCCTTAAAATGGACACGGTGTTTGCCGACAACAGTCACATGCAACTTATAGTCTTCTCGCAGGCGTTTAAGATACATGTCCAAATGCGAATCCCCCATACCAGAAAGAAATATCTGTTCCCATTAATCAATGGAATAATCATCAATGTTGTATACTAGTATATCTAGAGTGAGAAGAAATGAGAAGAAGTAACGGACTTGTTTAGATAAATACCTGGACACAATCGGGAACTGCAATTGCTTTGAAAGTAGGATCCTCTTTCTCGAATGCTTTCAATGCTTTCTAAAACTACACCAGAAAATAAACTTGATCAATATATTGCAAATTTCATAAAATCTTCAGGAAACATATGAAGTTGTTGTTTTAGGTCTAAAAAAATCACATATGACCTGTTTGCGATAACCTTTTGAAACCTGTTGAACAGGCAAGGACATGACTGATCCATCCGTAATGATAGAGGTTAGGAATTGACCCGAAGAAGCAAATTATGTTAAATATGAACAAGTAGAGAAGAATTGCATTTCCTCCTACTGTCCTGATGCACAAGCTACGATCCATGGACTAACCTTCATTCTAATATTTTTTTTTCTTTATTAAAATCACCTTTCCTTCTCCTTCTCAATCAAAAGAACAAGAGTTAGCTATTCACAAATTCATCATCCCATCTATAAATAAGAGGAAGATCAAGCATTTACATTAGATATTTCGTCAACGGACGAAATTGTCTCTCCTCAAATTTATAAGACCTAAGTAATCATCTTATTTCCTAAATTACCTTGTTTTCCTTAAATTCACTACCCATAAATACAGAACAGTGTCATCTTTATTTCCATTAGTTACCTTGTTTTCCTTAAATTCACTATCATGAATATTTGTTGGCAATGCTAGCTCTACGAATAGCTTCCTGCACATAATAGATACATTAGGCCAAAAAAAGTTAACAGTAACAAAAATGCAAGTAGAAGAACGTATACTTTTTTTTTTTTTTTTTTTTTTAAGAACGTATACTTTGATCACTGAATCATTAGGGTTTAATTTTATTTTTTTACGGAAAGAAACTAGAGCACTGCATTGAGGGATCAAAGCAGAGCATCTAAGGATGGTGGTGGCTGTGGGTAGCAAAACCATCGCCGAATAGTTCTTACATTAGAGAAAAAATATTTTATGTGTAATAAACAAAAGTTATAAACTTAAGTTACCTTGTGTCACAAGTTAAAAACACTAAAGAGCTTCATCTTCTTCCTATCAGTTTTCGTCAGAGAAGGTAAGCTTGTCGAAGATCTTTAAAGAAATTGATGATATCTGATATTTCAGTTTGGCGAGAGAGATTGACAACAAAGACTGCCTTGTTTCTTATGGCAGTGATTGTTAGTTTTTTTTTTATTAATCTCTAACGTTCAGAATATTTATGAACCATTTCCACATTGATCAAGCGCATTCACTTCAGAGAAGAACCTAAACTAAAGCTGAGTCACCAGTAATCCCTACAAGAACAGAGCCCATCCCTAAAGTGATGGAATCTGCTTGAATCCCTTACAGTTATCTCCCTCTTTACAACCTTCGATATCAGTTTTATCGCAGCGTGGCAATCCCTGCAGGCCCTCAGGTTCTTCATCACAACGATCGGAGACCCTTCTGGTGTACTGATAAGAGCAAACGCAACAGCTAAACGTTCACTGTGGAGCTTAAGCGACTCAATCTTCGTCTGCTCATCTGTGTCTTGTCCTACGCAGCTCGTGTCAGGCTTGTACCCTTGTCTTTCGATCTCATCTGTCAATTCATTGATCTTTCTCACGATCTCATCTCCTCTCGGGTGTGTCTGGTCATTCGATGAGAACACGTGAATCTTGTGGTTCACTTCAACCCAGCTATTAGCCGTAACCTTCTTGATACCTCGCTCGTGCATCGCTTTCTTAACACGACTAGAGCTTTCCCATTCACCAGAAGCTGCGTAGATATTGGACATGCTTACATAAGCAGCAGCGTCCCTGAGCTTCTCCATGCTGAAAAGCTTCTCTGCTGCTCTCTCAGCAAGGCCTTGATTCTTGTGAATCCGACATGCGTTCAACACTGACGACCACATGATTTCATCTGGCTCAAAGGGCATTTCCCTCATCAGCTTCTCTGCTTCTGCGAATCTCCCGTTTCTGCCAAGCAAATCCAGCATGCACGCGTAGTGTTTTTTTCCTGGAGTTATCCCATAGATCCGAGACATTCCCTGGAAATACTCCGTTCCTTGTTCAACAAATCCACAGTGACTACATGCGGTCAATACGCCCAAGACGCTGACTGAATCTGGCTGGTGACCTGAGTGAATCATATCTGTAAACGCACCGATCGCTGCTTCTCCATCTCCGTTATCAGCGTATGCTGAGATCAAAGCATTCCATGAAACTACATTTCTATCAGGCATCTCTCTGAATACTTGAACAGCATCTTTGATGGAACCACACTTGGCGTACATATCAACCAGTCCAGATCCAGAGAAGACGTTTTCCAAGTTCCCTGACCTGATTATGAATGCGTGGAGCTGTTTCCCCAACGACAAAGAAGCTAAACTAGCGGAAGCTCTCAATACAGTAGCAAACGTGGATTGGTCTGCTCGTAAACTTGCTCCTCGCATCTTGGTGAACAGCTTAAGCCCAGCTCCATGAAGCCCTTTCTGAACATAACCTGAGATCAAGGCGGTCCATGAAACAGTGCTCTGTTGTGATAAACTCTCGAATATCAACTCAGCTTCCTCAAACATCTCACACTTTGCGTACATACCAACTAGAGAGTTCCCGACATGAGGGATCGAATCAGCCGTTGCCACGATGGCCTGGCAGTGAATTTGTCGACCCATCTGCAGGGACGACAAGTTAGCTGCAATGCTCAGCACAGTCGCGAAAGGGAAGTTTCTCCGATCAAACCCCATGCGCTGCATTTCTCTGAACAGCTCCAAGGATTCCTCGTATTGTTCAGCCTGCGAATAGCTTGAGATGACCACATTGTAAGAGACAAAATCCAGCTCAGGCATTTCGTTAAAAAGATTCCTAGTTTCAAGAACACGATCATGTTTGGAGTAGAAATCAAGAATCTGGTTCCCAACTGCGACATCATTGGAAAAGCCGGTAGTAATCGCCGAACCATGGAGCTGTTGACCAAGAGAAAAATCATGTAGCCCAACAACTGCCTTAAGAACCCCAGAAAACGTGAAATCCGAAGGCTTGTGACCAGACCTCTGCATTTCGAGGAAGAGACGAGTCGCCTCAATGTACAAACCATCCTTCTCATACCCTGTGATAAGCGTGTTGAACGTGACAGAGTCTTTCTCTAAAATCTGCTCAAACACCACAAAGGCCAAATCACGCCTCCCTATCTCACAGTAAGACTTAACCAATACATTGCAAACAGTGAGAAAAGGGTTCCTATCAAAGCCTAACTTGACGGCAAAGCCATGAACTTGACCCACCGTGTTCTCGGAAACCGAGTCATTGCAGCCTGGTAAAAGCGTAGCAAAGGTCACATGATCAGGCAAAGTATAAGACCTGCACATCTCACGGAAAAGCTTGAAAGCTTCATCGAACCGGTTGTTCCCGGCGTACCATCCCATCAAGATAGTCCAAGTCACAACAGTTCTACCTTCGACCATAGCGTCGAATAGCTCTCTGGCGCTGGAAATATCACCGGACTTTACGTAACCCGAAATCATCGTATTGGTGGAAACGACGTTCTTGTGAGGCATTTCATCATACAACTTGCGTGCAGCAGAGACTTGACCTCTCCGGAGAAAGTCCTCGACGATGAAATTGGAGCGACACGTATCTGTGTCAAACCCAGTTTTAATAATCCGAGCATCAACACGTGTTTGGAAAAATCTCGCCGGTGCCGGTTGTCGGAGCTGCCGTAGAGTCGCAAGAGTTCTTGATCGGGCTTCATTGGCTTTGCAATAACAACGTGTCATAAGCCAATTATAACTCCCGGAGCAATCAAGTCGGGTTTTTAGGATCTCCGGGATTAACCCGTTTGGTCCTCTGCCGGAGAACGAAGCAACTTCCGGCGCCGGACTATTTTCCCTCTGAAATTGATTGAAAGATAGGCAACTTTACATTCGGTTTCTCTGTTTTTGATAAATAAAATAAATATAATTTGGTTTGGTTCGGTCTAATTGGAAACACTGTTCGATTTTCTTTATTTACCAAAAGAAAGACAACTGGAAAAGTCTATCAAACCAAAGTTTTTACCATTACTCAAAAAAAGATTTTGAGATGAAAGCATTTTCAGAACAGAGAAAATAACTCAATCTCATTTGAATTTCTGATATGCAATCTCATTAGTGTAATATTTAAAAGATTGGGCATAGCATCTACATAATAAAGATACTCGAATGTTCACTGAGCTCAAAAGGAACAACAAACCTGTTAAGCCCATGGAAGCTCGGGAACAAATGGTATCTCATAACGTGAAACAAAGAAGAAGAACAAGATGCCATTAGAGAGATGGCGGACGCAAGTTGAGAGTAGCTAGGGGGTCAGCTGAGCCCCACCTAATTTAATAAAACATTTGCTTTTTATTCAAAGAAAATTATAATGACCCTATTAAAAAAAAATTGACCCCATCAAAAATAACTAAAAAAGGATTAATGACAAAAATTAAAATTATTAACTTTAGTTAAATGGTTCACATTTTTTTTCTAACTCAAACTTGGATTCATAATAGGTTTAAGCTGAACTTAAATATACTAATAAGTAACTATAATTTCAATTATTTAATTGTAGCGGTTAGTCTGCCACAACCAAGGCCGGCCCAGAGCTAAGGTTCCTGAAGTCGGCGATCCAAAATATACTATTTTTGGAGCAGCAAAAAAAATCCAAAACTTTTTTTATAAATGTGTGTAAATAAGTTTGTCCCAAATCGACTAAATAGAAAAAATAAGAAGGAAAAATTGCTTATAAATAAAAGTCATTATCTCATCAAATATTAAAAAAAAAATCGATTCTGGCTTATAATAATCGATTTTGGGCTTCAAAAAATTGGTTTTGGCTTATAAAAATAAAATTTGGACTTCAAAAAAAATCGATTTTCGCTTTTAAAAATCGTTTTGGTTTTAAAAAATCGATTATGTGCTTTAAAAAATCGATTCTGAGCTTAAAAAAAATCAATCTTAAGCTTAATAAATTAATTTGGACTTAAATAATCGATCTTACGCTTAAAAAATGATTTTAGGCAGAGAAAATCGATTTTAAAAAAAAAAATTTGATTAAAAACATCATTTTTACAGTACGCTTTTTGGGCCGGCCCCGGCCACAACCTTGGAGAGATGTTCTTTTAGGAACAAAGATTGTCAAGACAGTACTACAAAATTGTACATATTGGTGATCAGTTTCTAAGTGATTGTGTCTTTTGTTCAATCGAAAAAATATTTGAAAGATGTAACAATTAAAACCATAATAAAAAAAAGGTTACATGCTATGGGTGAAGAAGGTCGAGTACATTTGTAATTTAAAAAAAAAAAAAAACAGTTTATAAACTACATTTTTTCTTTTTAAAAAAATTCTGCTCACAACAAAAAAATGTCATGGCTTTACTGAGAGAGAAAAAGTTCTGGCACTACAAGAATGAGGAGTTTTTCCGTCGAATTAGTTACGACGATTTTTAGTCGTCGTAAATTTACGACGACGTTACGTCGTATTTACGACGATCAAAAATTTCGTCGTAAATTCGACGTAAAAAATGACCCTCGTAAAATTGTCGTGATGTTACGACGATATTACGACGAATGAAGAACGAATTTTAATTCGTCGTAATGTTGTCGTAATATTTACATCGATAATACGACTAATTGTCGTCTATCTTATAATTGACGTAAAATCAATGTAAATGTGATGTAAGTTTTATTTCGACGTAAATTTGATGTAAATATGCAATGGTAATATGTTGGTAACCAAACAAAAAATTCTATATATACCCTTTCTTCTCTCATTATTCCATCAACCCAAAAAAACATATAAAGACAAATTTTTTGAGTCTTTGAATGTTTAAGTAAATTTTTTAGTAGTTGAAATTTATATCAAATTTCAGAAACAAAAAGTCAAATATTTGTTTTTGAAATGTCTATATACGATCTACGAAAGTGGATGTATACGCCCAAAAATGGTGATGGGTCGTTGACTGAAGACTTCAAAAACGGATTGGAAATATTCATGTACCAAGCCGGCCTTATGCAAACTGTAATTGAAAGCGGCAAAATGTATTGTCCTTGTGTGAAATGTAAAAATAGGAAACATATTCCTATTGACACTGTCTGGCAGCATTTATTGAATAGAGGGTTCATGCCCCAATACTTTATTTGGTATCAGCATGGAGAGAGATATGGTCAAAGTAGTGGTCAGATGGCTGCACGGAGTAGTAGTAATCATCAAGAACATGTGGATTTTGAAGCGTCCAATGATTATCAAAGTAGTCAAGTTCAGGGTGAAGATCATGATAGGATGCATGAAATGGTTACTGATGCATTTCATGAAACACATGCTGATACTGTTGAGGAGCCCAATGCAGATGCGAAACGCTTTTATGATATGTTAAACGCAGCAAAACAGCCTCTGTACGAGGGATGTAGGGAAGGTTTATCAAAATTATCATTGGCAGCTCGGATGATGACAATAAAAACTGATCACAATCTATCTGAAGTTTGCATGAACGATTGGGCATATCTTATTAAAGAGTATTTGCCAGATGATAATTTGGCTGCTGAAACGTATTATGAAATTCAGAAGCTGGTTTTTAGTCTTGGATTGCCTTCTGAGATGATTGATGTTTGTGTTGATAATTGTATGCTTTTTTGGAGAGATGATGAGAAGCTTGAAGAATGTCGTTTCTGCCAAAAGCCAAGATATAGACCGCAAATTGCTGGGCATAAGAAGATTCCTTACCAACGAATGTGGTATCTTCCTATCACTGATAGGTTAAAAAGACTATATCAATCTGAACGGACAGATGCGTCGATGAGATGGCATGCGGAACATTCACAAATAGATGGCAAAATGACTCACCCGTCTGACGGGAAATCTTGGAAACATTTTAACACCGTACATCCAGACTTTGCTAGGTCTAAGCAAAATTTTTGTCTTGGTCTTTGCACTGACGGGTTTAGTCCATTTTTTATGTCTGGTAGGCAATATTCATTATGGCCTGTGATTCTTACGCCATATAACCTTCCTCCAGATATGTGCATGCAAAGAGAGTTTTTGTTTCTAAGTATATTAGTCCCTGGTCCAAATCACCCGAAGCAAGCCCTTGATGTGTTTTTGCAACCACTCATACATGAGTTAAACCAGTTGTGGCATGTTGGAGTACGAACATATGACTGTTTGAGTGGTAAAAATTTTACGATGCGAGCGGTGCTTATGTGGACAATAAGCGATTTCCCGGCATACGGAATGCTATCAGGTTGGACAACGCATGGGAGGTTATCATGTCCTTATTGTCTTCATAGGACTGATGCATTTCAGCTTAAACATGGTAGGAAAACCTGTTGGTTTGATTGCCACCGTCGGTTTTTACCACCAAACCATCAATATAGAAAAAATAGGCGTTTGTTTACAAAGAACAAATTGGTTCGTCTCCCTCCACCAGTGTACCTAACTGGAGAAGAGCTTGAAGCGCAAAGAGATCATTGGGGTGGACTTGAAACGGTCCCCCGAGGAGGAAATTGGCACACTCCTGCGAATATGCCTGAAGGATATGGGGTTCATCATAATTGGCACAAGAAAAGTATATTTTGGGATCTGCCTTACTGGAAAGATCATTTGCTCAGACATAATCTTGATGTTATGCACATTGAGAAGAATTTTTTCGATAACATCATGCATACTGTTTTGAACGTCCAAGGAAGAACCAAAGACAGCGTTAAATCACGGATGGACTTACCCAATATATGTAACAGAATTGAGTTGCATATGGTGAGTAATGGGAAAGCACATGTTCCTGTATTTCGGTTGGGTGCTGAACAAAAAACAGCATTGTTTAATTGGGTATCATCAGCCGTGAAATTTCCTGATGGATATGTATCTAATCTGGCTAAATCTGTGGATAAAGGACAAAAGTTTTCAGGGATGAAAAGTCATGATTGTCATGTGTTTATGCAACGGTTACTTTCTTTTGCGTTTGCTGAACTCCTACCGGGACATGTCCATGAGGCACTAGGAGGCATTGGAGTTTTCTTCCGTGATCTAAGTACAAGGACATTATTAGAAGATATAGTTGCACAACTGTCTACAAATATTCTAATATTGTTGTGCAATTTAGAGAAAATATTCCCACCTGCTTTCTTCGATGTTATGGAACATTTACCTATACACCTCCCTCATGAAGCAGAGTTGGGAGGACCTGTTCAGTTTAGGTGGATGTATCCGTTTGAACAATTTATGAAGCATTTGAAGGGTAAGGCCAAAAACTTAGCAAAAGTTGAAGGGTCTATCGTGGCGGGAAGTTTGACAGAAGAGGCTTCTCATTTCACGTCTTATTACTTTGCTCCAAAGGTTCGTACACGTAAACGGGCTCCAAGACGTTACGACGATGGGGGTGTAGGACAAAGTTACGCAGTAGAAGGTGTGCCTGATATATTCTCACCAATTGGACGTCTAAGTGGGAAACTAAAAGAAACTTGTTAGTCAAACGAACAAGACTACCACAGCGCACATACATATATACTTCTGAATTGCGAGGAATTGGCACCTTACGAGAGGTACATAATTATAACCATGCATGATTAAAATTTGATTGAACAGACGAAATGTCCTTAACAATGTTTTAAAATTTCAGCACTTTCGTCAGTCAAGTCCGAGAATGCATTGACGGTGTTTCAGAAGATGAAATTAACAAGCGCAAAGACCAACATTATGCATTGTGGTTAAAAGGTCAAGTCGAGCATGATGACATGACATATGCAGTATGGTTTCATGAGTTGCTCCTAGGTCCTATTTCGAAGATAACTACTGCAGCTATGTATTTCACACGTGGCTATGTTTTTCATACTTATAGTCATGGCACTCAACGGGCAACTACAAAC